ATACCAAGGGCTCAAGTAGAAAGCAAATGTTTTGAGAATGATGAGGGCAACAAATGTACAAATGTGCTTGACACAACGGATGGATGGATGGTTTGTGATGAGTTGTATGAGCCCCCCCAAAAAATGAATGAAAAAACAATAGTCTCCTGTCATCAGTTTGCTTCCACTGCCAAAGGAGGGAGACCCCTGTGGTCTTCCATTTGTGGCAACAGCACAAAGTAAGCAATTTCAATATATGGGGCAGTCCTCTAAATTATATTATATTGGCTTTCTCCTTTAATCTATAAAATAAAATGTTAAACAACCCCTTTGCCATTAAGAGAAAAACTCTTCTGGACAGGACCTTTGCCCTAGGCTCCCACACCTCTGAGACCAGGGTGCCAACTCCCGAGTCCCCTCTGCTCTGCCTGGGCAGGAGGTAGACCGGCAAACAGGCTGTAGCCTAGCATGTCTCAGTGACCCACCGAAGTGAGCTCCTGACTCTGGAGCTTGACAACACAAGGAAGCTGGGAGTCTTTCCATCTTCTACAAAGGATTCCCTTCTATATGGCCACCAGGAGAAGAGGAAAAGGCATCCCCAAAGCATTCTGAACTGGAAGCAAAGGTAAGCAGAGCTTAGAGAAGCCAAAGTCAGGGTCACAGCACCGTGTCCCCAAAGCTGTGGGCAGTAGTGAACACTCAAGTGGCCCTTGTCTGTCTTGAGCCAGCTTCTTCCCTTACCTCAGGCACCAGTGGCCACAGGGCTTTGTGGGATCAGCAACTGAACAGGTGTGTCTAGGTTATACCTGGGCCCCAGGCTGGCACTCTACCACACACTCTTGAGGCCCCCGTGGGGCTATACACCTGTGTCACTCAACTGCAAACCGAGTGGGCACTTACACCAGCCTAGAGGAGGACTGTGTCCCAGAAACAGCAAAGTGCCCAACAGTCTAATCTGACAACATGCCACAATGTGGGAACCTACAATGTTTTCAACTTGACTTTGACCACACAGGTTTCAGCCTCTCCCTGGAGCTCCTTTTAGTGTTTCCTTCATCTGACTCATGCGCGCGTGCACGTGCTCACACACAGACACACCCCAGCACAAACTGCAGCCTAGCTCCTGGAACTAGAGGGCCCGCTCCTGCACCGGAGTCCATGAGGCAGCCCCGTGAAAGGGGCTTTTCACAACAAATATGAGGTCAGCATTTCATTTCTCTTACTGTAAAAAAAAAAGCTTATTGTTGTCATTAATAAGAGACAGAGTCTTCTGACCCCTGGAAGCCAATATGGCGTCCAGGAAGTGCAGACACCCCACCCCTGGGAACAAGCAGGACAAACAAGCCTTTTCATCGCGAGGAGCTGAAAGCGGCTCAACGTTCCAGCAGCAGGATGTTTGACAGACATCACAGAGATGGCTGGGGGCTGAGAGCCTACCAGATACTTCTTGCTTGTGCACATGGTTTGACTCCTGTTCATGCTTCTCTCAGAGACAAAGACAATCCTTTATTCCTTGGCTGGAAATGCTCAGGAACACAGAATCTGCATGTCCACTTGTGACTGTGCAGAAAGGGGACCCTGCTGAAAAACTGGCAGCTCAGGGATATGCCTCGTGTCTCTCCCATCAGTATTTCCAGAGTGCACACAGATGCAATACCCTTTCTCCAGACCTTTCAGAAATCTTTATAATCTTTGAGAGGGCCCTAGCATGCTGTGTCAAGTCCTTCCCGATTTCTAAGGTTGAGGGCTCAGGACTCTGCCTGCCCAGGGCTCAGAAGCAAGCAAAAAGGCCACTCTATATACCGAATATCAGCAAGGCACCTAATTTTACCACAAAAACTGCATCAAAAATGTGCTGGAAAATCCCCACTTAGACACGA